AGAGAGAGAGAGAGAGAGAGAGAGAGAGAGAGAGAGACAGAGACAGAGACAGACAGACAGACAGACAGACAGACAGACAGACAGAGAGACAGACAGAGAGAGAGTACGAAGTAATGGACAAGGAGATAAGCATAGAGTCATGGGCACATTGGATGAAAGGAAGGCAGCGGAGTGGAATCAGCTCAGCTATATGTTCCAACTTTACAGAGGTGAGAGAGAAAGAGGAGAAGTGGTTTGCTGGTCGTATGTCCCCACTTGGTGGGGCATGTTCAAGCTATTAACTAGTGTACTGAAGAACTTAAAAAAAAAAAAACAGTACACTAATTGCGAACAGGCTACCAGCTGATTGCGCATAGGGGATCCGAACCAACTTCCCAACCCGGTCCTGGACGAGGTTGATAGGCACACAAGGGAGGACAAGGCAACCACCAAAGGTTTGTCATTCTGTCTATAATACTCCATATACATTGAATTCATAGATATCCTTCCAAGATGAAAAAGATTAGATCAGAAAAAGGACGTGTAATTACTTACTAATTTAGGTTGGGATTGAAGAATTCAAACTGAAATTCAGTTGCAATTGGAATCATCACAAGCTTCCTCCATGCCTACTATGCCCACATACTAGTATCCATAGTATGCCTCCATAGCATGCCTCCATACTATGCCTACATAGCATGACTACATTATATGCCTCCATAGGATGCGTATATAGTATGTCTACATAGCATGCCTGCATAGTATGTATCCATAGTATGCCTACATACTATGCCTACATACTATGCCTACATACTATGCCTACATTGTACTATGCCTATATAGTATGCCTACATAGCATGCCTACATAGCATGCCTGCATAGTATGTATCCATAGTGTATGCCTACCATGCCTAATATGTTTGTACAGTCAGTATATTGATGTTGAAGGGGAGGTTATCGTTGAAAAGTTCGGAGTTAATGTCATTGCTTACACTTGGTTTGAACCACTCAGGATATACTCACACTAGGACTGTTTTGACTGACCTCTGGATGTGATTACAGTCAGATGCATCCAGGTCTGCTGTAGTTGCAATCAAATACATTTAGGAAAGTGCTACCGTCTTCACCCAAATACAGCGCCAGCCCCCAGGTCATTATGGTGGTATCTAGACTGAAAGTTGCCCCAAATACAGCTATAATGGCCGCGCATTAAATCCCAATGAAGACGGTAGTGTGAGTGTGGCCTCAGCAAGATGGTTAGCAAGGGTCCTACACAAATATCACACACCAATATGTAAGAAAGAGGGTGGAATGTTCGGGGCCTGTGGGGGATTGGGGGGATTGGGG